AATTCTTAAGAGGAATATGGTCCAGAATCGTCCCCGTAATATACAACAGTTACAAGATTATCTGCGACAGGAATGGGAAAAAATTTCTACAGATACATTGAGCCGTTTAGTGTCGTCCACGCCTAAATGTCTTGCTGCGGTTATCCGCCGGAATGGTGACGTCACCTCTTGGTAATCGAACCGAACGAACATTTTTGACTTCAATTGTGCAAGGAAATACACTTGCATCGTTTATCATAACTATCTGTTTTGTTGCAAATTAAGACAGATGCTGTTGCAATGTTGTATTTAGCGTATCAAATGTTAATAAAATGTTTCTTTTGCATATACGTTTCTTCGTGTTTTTCAATTTCCTCCTTCCAAGCTGTTTCTTACGTGAACGAACTTCATTGACGTTGTACATTTTCGTAATGTGAAACACATTTTGTTCTCTTTTGCATGCAAATTCCATAAATATGCCGTTTGAATGAAAAGAAACAAATAATCCTTTTTATCTCACCCTAATTAATTCTCATGCTTAAGTCTCAACTGGAATATCGTTCCAGTTTACATTAAAAAGATCCTGAATATATTATAATTTGCCTTGCGCTAAGGTCTGTGACTTTCTCTGAATTTTAATTTTTAATAAAAACTAATATGCTGCTTTCGTTCTAGCTTTTGTAATTAAAAGTTTCTCCCGAACACCAAAGATAAGGATAATAAGGAATTTACAGAAAAAATATTCTTTTTCGAAAGTTATTTTTAAACAAATGCCCAAGTTCATGTGTATAGTTTTAAGAGGAAAATAATGCTCTGATATCGAACATCAATTTCAATAATATTAGAAAGTTATCTGGAATTGTAGCCTGTATAAACTTTTACTAGGTTTACTGACGGAGTATATTTATACTTTTATGTTTTATAAGCTTTTGAATTAATTTTCATAATATTAATATAAAAGTGAAATAGAAGGATTGAAATTAAAAGAGAAAACTCAAAAATAATAAAATAAGGAAGTGCATTCTTGAGCACAGAATGAAATTTTAACTCTGTTGCTGATGCAGAAATTCAAATGGAAATACACTGTCGCTAAAATTAAAGGAACAACTATAATCATTTGCTTTATGTTAATTCTGTTAAGTCCAATAAAAGTTAGTTGGTTGGGAGCTCAAAGTCGGCGTTATCACGTTGTGGAATCGGATGTTCCTTTGCTACACAGAAGTACGCATTTTTTTTTCTCCCGTTATTTTTGCACGGGTGAAAAAGACTAAAGTGGAAGATACGAATCCTAATTTCAAGGGTTGCACGAGTAATTGGGTAAAATCTTTGCTTGTGGGAGGTGGAATATGTTCTTAAGAAGATATCTGGCGAATTGTGAGAAATTGCATACTATTGGGAGAATGGAAACTGTAGAAGGACTGATGAATTGAAACACACTGACACAAGAATGTAAAGACCTAAAAGTAGCAAATAGCGTCTGTCAACAATCTGGAAACTTTACAAAAACACTGTTGATGGATGCAGACCAGCACCGCAATATCGGAAACTTGCCATAATACATTTTTGGACCGTTATTTGGCAACACCTGCTAAAAGAAATAAACAGCTGAAATCAGCCCACATTGAAAGGGAGTTTGCTATAGCTACAGGAACTTGACTATCCATATATACTGTGAGCGAAAGGCAGCATAAAATAGAGCTGTTTGTAAGAAACCCGCGATTTGTCTTCCACTAAATCTGCCTGTGAAATGCTACCATTTGAAGTGGCGCAGAGATCATCAAAATTGGAATGCAATGGATTGGAACAGGGAAGAAGAATGGCTGCAGACCCGTTACAATCCTGTGGGAGTGAAACTTACTCAATGAACTTGGAAAATATTCATGAAAGTCATCGGTACAAAGGAGGTGGGATCATGGAATCATTAATTGGAATGGTCGCACTGACCTGCACTTACCTACACTACACTATACACTACCAGTGGAGTTATGAATTACGAAATATGTATAGTGAGGTTCTTCATCCTCATGTGAAGATTTTTAAAGATGTAATCGGGATAACTAACTTTCAATGGACGATAGCACGATTACCCGTCTTGAGAACGAAGGAATTCAGCTGAAGAAGTGGATTGTTTTATGGATGAATTAAATACGATAGAATATGGTTGGGATGCAATAGGACAACAACTTACAGCACTGCAGCCGATACCTTGCACTCTTATGTTCAAGCATTAAGACATTTTTCATAGTACATACACTTTGATTCACTTCTGTTCAATCTAATACACATCATGAATCGCTGCAAAGTTAGCATTTCGGTCAATGAGGATCACATATCTTATTAATTTTTTTGTGTGTATCTATAAAATGTCGCAACACCAGTTTATCCCTAACCTACCTTCAACACATATCCTGTGTTCTTTTTTCTTCCAGAAATAGGCATCGCTGCATTTTGAAGATATGTTAAGCAAGATCTTTTGCATGTTTCATGCTCATAGCTGAAAAATCATTTAGGTTACATGGATTCCTTTAACTTTTACCGCTAATATATATTAAAACTCAAAGTGCTCCCATAAAGGTATACATACTTTTGATAGCTATTACTCGAAGAATTAATAATATACATAACATGTTATATCTCAAATTAATGATTGTGTTTCTAGAATTGATCACTTATCAGGAGTAGTCGAAACGTTGGCTGTTATTGTTCAGCGATTGCTGACTGTTACGGGCTATTGTAGTATCCAGATATAATCCAATGGACGTACACCTATTTCTATTTTGTAGTTTTTAGCTGGACCACATCGTTTCAATTCTTAGCCTTTCAATTTAGGTGGGTCATTCATGGAGGATCCATGCAAATCACACAACTGGCCATTTCAATCCCCTAGAGCTATTGTGCCCAATCCTCCTCCCACTTTCAAAATTGGTCTCCCAGCCCTGGATTGCTCCCCCTCACGGGTGGTTTTCGCTTTTGTGAGAGAGCATCGCTTCACTTCTTCAGGGTTATATTCAGATTTATGATCGAATGCGCCAAGTGGAAAACGAACAACGTAGGATTTCAAAACTTTTCGATCACAACATTCCAAATCTCATCGGATATTCGCATTGACGACGGGTTTTGATGCGAAGTACTCCAAATGATGTGGAGCGGAACGCTTGTAAATGTCCAGTTTTAAATAAGAAGAAGGGGAAAATACAGAAACCAAATATACTATAAATGATGATTATCAGTTGTGAAGATGTGGTAGAACTTCGAGTAACATTGTGTTTTTTTTTCCGTAACAGAGCTATCCAAAAGTAAAATAAACAGATAAAGCAAAAAGAGCATAAAATAAAATAGAAGAAAACAACTTTAAAAAAAATTTTAAAGAAAACTTTTCTTTTATTGTTTGTTCCGTACCGAAAAGTTTTATTTAGTATTATTTATTTATATCTCTGTTCATTAAATTGTTACTTGGGAACAGAATTCAATGTGGAACCAATTTTTAAAAAAAATCATTTAGAGCTTCATATCCGGAATATTCTCCTTAAACAAGGAAAAAATTCTTGAGTATAACCACAGAAAAAATAAATAAGATATAATACGTGTGGGATTATTGTTTATGGCGCAACTCTGACTAAACAGGAACCGGGTTCATTACATTTTTTTCTTCAAATCTGCGTAGCAATTTTTTCGAACCTTCTAATAACACTGGGACCGAACCTTCTAATTACCTAGAGAAATATTACATTTGAAAATGAATATGTACTGTTATTATTGTAGAGATATCAATGTAATTATAGGCGTTATCACTTTTTCATATACGAAAGTTTCTCTTGCTTTCAAAAGGAGATTGATCGGAAGTCTGTCAGATTTGATATTGGAACCGTACAGTTTATTTTGACCTTTGATCTATATTAATAGCTTCTAGAATTAACTAGCATTAATATTAATAGGTGTAAACTTCTAAATACAGGGACAAAATGCAGGGTGACAAGCGCGATTTCATTGTAATAACTTCGGACAAAAGTATTCGCAAAATTCATTGACAGGAAAATTTATGAAACGAAATATTTTCGAATAACTACTTGAAAAATTGTTACCCATGCTGGATTAAATGGAAATAACTTCTACCATTTAATTATGCTACAATTCTTATTTAGAGATTGTTTACCATTGCTTTTGGATTCTGCCGTGGAATGTTTCAAATTGCATCCCGTTAGGGCATGAATGTATGTGGCAGCAGAGAAATGTTTTACGTTCGTAATTATAATGCGAATGCTAAACAATTTTTGATATAATCGAACATTTCCATTCATAAAGGCAGCTTTAAAATTTTATTGGATTGTTGTGTAAAATGATATTATTAACGGTCGAGTTTATGAGTTTGCAAAGGACTAATAATAACTTTTCTATAGATACTAAACGTCTTTCGCGACCAGGAATATAATTTCATTCTAATTTCTGATGTGTAATTTGATATTCATGGTTATTTCAATAAAGTATTTTTAAACTTCCAATTGTGATAGACATTTAATCTATGTTCCTTTAGTAGCCTTGCACCTCTTCTGTTGATTTTCTACATGAATGTATCGAATGGAGTCAATTAACCGTCCATGTCGCACGCAGAGGTACCCCTTCCCACCCTCCAAAGTATGTTTGTGCCGAATTTCGTAACTGTAGCCCCAGCGGTTTTCTCTGCAGCGCGCCAACACTCTCCTAGACAGACAGAAAAATAAACAGAAGACACACAATATAGCGTAACAGAACCACAGCATGTAGTTTGCACTGTGTTAACTTCTTTACTCAATGAATCAACGCAAAATCCATCTGAAATTTTCCTTTTCTCATCGACTGTCTCTAGTGCTTGCAGGTATTGACATTTCATGTTAAAATGGAACATGAGATGCATTGGGCGGGAATCTATATGTAATACTTTGTTGCGAAGCGCAGAATACATCTGAATTCTTCCTTTTTTTTATCGAATGCCTCTATTACTTGCAGGTATTGATATTTCATGTTAAAATGGAACATGCGATGCATTAATTGGTCGGGAATCGAAACCGGAGTGCTCGTGTGGCAAACGAGAATTCTAAACCTCTGAGTCACTGACGAAATTTCGCATAGTGCTGAATGTATTCTAGTCATCCAAGCCAATCTTCAGACATTAAAAATGCGCAATGCGAATGTCTAGAATCCATGCCAATATTTCTTTTCTTCATTTAGAGTTAATGCAGTGATTTAGTTGTTAGTGAGTATTGAATTTAACGTTATTACTTGGAAATAACGATTTTTTATAATCAAAAATTCTTATAGAAAGAAAAATATTTATTCTTCATACTATTTCATTCTGATATATTTTTGTTTTATCAAATTTCATTATATTCGATCGTTTTAGAAGTACTGATTTCCGAGATCGTTGATTCTTGCTTTCACATCCCAGACCTGATTACAATGGAGATGAGCAATAAATAGGGGCTGGTGCTTGAGGCATCAGATGTCCAACGGTTTTCAGATTGTTTGAGTGTTTTTGAAGTGGGCTGCTGCCTCAGGTGTTGTTCTTGTCGTCTTATCGTGGTTTAAAACCAGGAGATTGGTCCTCACTACTCCTATTGTGAAACTTTAAAACTATCTCTCAGGTGTCTAAAGAAATATCGAAAACTATCCTTTTACTTCCTCGTGTACAAAGTACACATTGAGAAAGTAGTGACATCTTTGAAAGAAATGTGACCTTCAGCAATATCGATTTTTAATTTCAATAAAAATATTTTTGGAATTTGTGTATGTCCGTTCATATGAGATCTGTAACTCATAAGCACAGTGTTTAGGTATTTTACGGCGCAAGTGCCATTTATTTGACTATGCTGCACCGAAGCGCAGTCAAGGATAAAATACCGCAGATAATTCTTAAATTAAAATTATAGATTTGTATCAAAATTTAGGCTAAATCCTATGATGAAGGAAAGAAAATTTTTCCCTAAACAACATTCTCAATTTCCATCGCTGCGATATGAAACTAAATAAAAATGAGGATCGTTTGCAAAGATATTTTGACATGCTCATTGCTATTCAATTTGAATAAAAATATTATATCTTTATTAACTTGTATATTGTATTTGTCTGTGCGTTGTCATTTACGATTCCAGGTAAATACTGTATGGCTTTTTATTATTGTCTTTATTACCACACGATTTGCCCCTCCTTCCAATGAATAAATGAATGCAATCATTTGTGGATACATTATGCATATAATTAAAAGTAATTAATTGGAAGTTATAGTGGAGATAATAGAAAAAAAAGCATTACGATTAAGTTGTCCTTATCTATTAGATACCCTTTTTCATGTTTTTACGGTGTAAAAAATGGCCATTTCATATAATAGCGCCTTCAGTTATCACCAGAAAATATCACAATTTTTCAATCAATAAAACAAGACAGAAACTGATTGTGAAAATGGTTTTGGATACTTCAAAAGAAAAACTATGGATACCAATGTTGGATGTTTGACTGCATGACACATAGGTAAAATCATTTTGACAATAATGATCTTAACTATGTGTCAACGACAATTGTAAATGATAGCCTTATATAGAAATTTGTGACAAATAGTCCAGTCATTAGGTAGTTTTTAAAAACAAATTCTGGTGGAGTCGTAATTTTTTGCTCCTATATGTTTTTTGGGATGCTGATTACAAATCCGAGATTTCGCACCAAAAATGTTTGTTGGAATTTTAATTATAGCCAAGAAACATGAAAAAAAATGGATTTTCTCCCATTTTTTTGCTTATAACTCAAAAACTATCAACTTTTTTATGGCATCATCGTATATCAAAATAATCAGCACAAAACTACTATTTTTTCTTTACGCGTACCACTTAGGCGCCATAACTGGTTGAAGTTTGGCTAAAGTTTGACTTACCTGCTAGCACGCCTTGAAAAATAACAAATCTTCCTATCTGTATGCACTAAAATTTGCTATCTTACTCTTAATATACTTTACTTATTTAATACACTTTTTCTACCATAATGTTCCTTTTTCAAACAAATTTTTCATCTGTTATATTAGACATGAAGGTAATTTAGTCCCGAGCAACGCCGGACATAAGTGCTAGTTAGGAATGAAATTCCTTGATTAGCTCTAAAAGGCTGATGTTGATGGAAACTTAGATTCACTTTCACAATAAATGTTATTTTACAAACAACTAAAAGTACTTAGTGTGGTTTTTAATTAAACTTTATAAATTTCTATTAATTAATTTGAATTACTTGGCATATAGTAACCAAGAAAAAAATGACATGAAAAAAAAGTAGCATTCTAAACTTTAAAAGTCATAATAACTTAATAATAATACAACTACAGTCATAAATATGATCTTGGCATCTGCATACATTACACAGTCTCTTCACTTTATCTTGGTCGCTTTGAAGCTTATGGTCCAATATTTTTTGAAAGATCACCTGTGTCTTCCTCCACATGCAAAGATAAAGACGCCTCAACTAAATCATCGGGCAGTATTGGTTCACCATCATCATCCTCATCACTATTAATTACTTGAGTCCCTCTGTTATTGCAGTTGCCCCAACAATGAGGATAAAACATTGAACAAAACAGTCTGACCTTCCTACAGCTACAATTTCCTGTGCACCTCTTCTTACACTTGCAGGATATCTTGCGTACAGGATAGAGTCAGGTGCGGGGGACTTCAGAGTGTTTACAGGTTGGAGCTCACTGTTTATTCTTTCCCAACCCCATTCTCCAGGTCTCTTTTCATTGCCAAGCCAGTGCTGGATCTGATAGTAAACTTTTAGGGAATGTTGGTGGGCAGCTGCGAAGCGAAGCCATGTTGCTACTCTTGTTAAATGAAGATTTCATGTAACATTTGTAGCAAAGATTATTCAAGGATGGAGTATCCGAGGCAGTTATTGGGTAGCCATACAATGCCGCAAGAAAGCGGTTCCCTACATCCACAACAGCTTCAGGGGTCATATCCGGGTTCTTAAAAATTTCAATTACTTTGAGGAGATCATTATTGTTTTTCAAAATCTGCACAAACTTCAATTTAACATAATTAAAAAGAGCTGATGTGGTGTCACATCCGCTCATGGCATGTATGAATAAAATATTGTCGGCGATTGTTTTTTCTAAAACTGTATGTGGAGAAAATATCTTTTCAGCGATTTTCCTTTTCCTAGTTTTAGGAAATATACATTATCAAAGGTACAAATGCCAATTAAGATGAAAAAAAGTTCGATATCTTCACCTATGACAACCACAGACGGATGTGTTGGAACCAAAGCTATAGTTTTCACAGTTAAACAATCAGCATCTTCGTCTGCTTTCTTGTATATCATGTTTACTGAGGAGAACTTGTTCATCAGGATGAAAATGAGTCTATCCTTGTTATTCGGATTGGCCAGTAATTTTTCTTAGGAAACAGTTCGTATCATCGTTTCATCAAACATTACTTCACTTGACATTTGTTTCTGTGTTCTTCTGGCCCATTCTGCACATTTAGTGCCTCCTACTGTTTCATTTTCAGGATACCCATAGAAAATGACTAGAGCAGTTGATTTGTACTTTGTACAAACATATGTCACATAATTATCACAAATTGATGAAAAAGTTGAACCCCTTTTCCAGATGACTCTGTGCAGCAAGTATCATCCATCAATGATATACACACCGCTTTCAGCATTAAAATCCCGTGTACATGGCTTGAAAGCTTTGTATGAAGAGGATTTCGTGCCTTTCCGCATTACAGCTTCATCAAACAGAGGTAATAGAAAGGGACATAGTTCAAATGTTAAGACGTCCTCTAGTTCATCCGATTGCTTTGTAATATAAATTATCTGGAAAAGCGTTGTAGGGTTGATAGATACACTTTCATCATGTACCTTGATGGCATCAATTATTAGAGCTAGTGGTGGCACTCTGTCATTTCTTTTGAATTTCACAGTATTAAAATAATTTCATTCGATTCTTTTGATACCAAGAGCAGGTAGGGGACAATAACTTTACTTCACAACCGCGAAAGCCAGGTAATACCAAGGTAGAAAGATTTAGAAGGAATTTTGTGCAGATTATACAAGTATACTCATAATATAACTGATAAAATCTTTATTTGCACAAAGAGGTTTACGATAGAAAAAGTATATTAATTCAGTAGGAATTTATTTAGTAAGATATATAATTTCGCGCATACAGATTGGATGGTTCGCTGTTGTTTAAGCCGAGCTAGCAGGCAAGTCAAACATTCGCCAAACTTTAACCAGTTATAGCACTTAAAAGGTATGCGTAACGAAAAAATAGTATAGACATAAATTGTAGGAAATTTTGTGCTGATTATTTTGATATATGATGATGCCATAAAAAATTTGACAGTTTTGGAGTTATAAGCAAAAAACGGTAGGAAAGTCCTTTTTTTCATGTTTTTTGGCTATAACTAAAATTCCAACAAAAGTTTTGGTTGGAAACATCAGATTCGTAATCAGCACCCCAAAAAACATACAGGAGCAAAACATTACGACTCCACCAGAATTTGCTTTAAATCATTCCTTTTTAGCACTTAATGACTGGACTAAAAGCCGAAGTCACAGTTTTTTCCTATTGCAACACATATCCAGAAGAAGACAGAAAATAAACATCTTATTTATTTCTCAGTATGTATGTAAAACAAATTCTGGTTAAGAATTTTGCTGTGATACTCAAAAAAATTTTCATTATTTCTTGTAACAGTAGCAGAGTCTCGTCACGTCCTCGGTGAGTGAAGCTTTCTTCATTCTCATTAAAAGAAGTGTTCTTACCTCTTTCAGCTCACGACTCTTCTTTGCAGTTTGAAAGTGAAAAAAGTTGTTTCCCCATTTCGAATGATTTGTTTCGCTATTCTGTAAACATGATGCTTGAGGCTGTGTTAGACTTGCTTGTTGAAATCACCAAAATTTCTTTAATACTGATTCCTATGGCAGATTAAATTTGAATTTTGGAGCGTGTGAAGAATAGCTGAGACTCTTATTGGAATGTAAAACAGATGATTCTTTACCTAGTGATTTCAAATAAAACTTAAATTTGAAATAAAATAGAATGGCTTACATCTTTGGTTGACTTTTACTATTAT